ACACACCATCATCACTGTAACCATCTACACCACACACACCACCATCACTGTAACCATTACACTACACACCATCATCACTGTAACCATCTACACTACACACCACCATCACTGTAACCATCTACACTACACACACCACCATCATTACTGTAACCATCTACACTACACACCATCATCACTGTAACCATCTACACTACACACCACCATCATCACTGTAACCATCTACACTACACACCACCATCATCACTGTAACCATCTACACTACACACCATCATCACTGTAACCATCTACACTACACACACCACCACCATCACTGTAACCATCTACACTACACACACCATCACTAACCATCTACACTACACACACCACCACTATCACTGTAACCATCTACACTACACACACCACCATCATCACTGTAACCATCTACACTACACACACCATCACTGTAACCATCTACACTACACACACCACCATCACTGTAACCATCTACACTACACACACCATCATCACTAACCATGTACACTACACACACCACCACTATCACTGTAACCATCTACACTACACACACCACCACTATCACTGTAACCATCTACACCACACACCACCATCATCACTGTAACCATCTACACTACATACACCACCTTCACTGTAACCATCTACACTTCACACACCACCACTATCACTGTAACCATCTACACTACACACACCACCATCATCACTGTAACCATCTACACTACATACACCACCTTCACTGTAACCATCTACACTACACACACCACCTTCATCACTGTAACCATCTACACTACACACACCACCTTCATCACTGTAACCATCTACACTACACACCACCACCATCACTGTAACCATCTACACTACACACACCACCATCACTGTAACCATCTACACTACACACACCATCATCACTGTAACCATCTACACTACACACCACCACCTTCATCACTGTAACAATCTACACTACACACCACCACCACTGTATCCATCTACACTACACAGCACCATCATCACTGTAACAATCTACACTATACTTAGCACCTTCATCCCAGTAACAGCGACAAGACCAAGGTAAATATTCCTTGGTCTTTATCTCATGATCAATATACCAATATTTCCTCTGATATATGGTAAATATTCCTTGGTCTTTATCTCATGATCAATATACCAATATTTCCTCTGATATATGGTAAATATTCCTTGGTCTTTATCTCATGATCAATATACCAATATTTCCTCTGATATATGGTAAATATTCCTTGGTCTTTATCTCATGATCAATATACCAATATTTCCTCTGATATAGCTGTCATATAGGATTCCTGCTATTATTTGTGAGTGACCTTTGACAGGTGTAAGAGAAGAGGAAGAAGAATTAACTAGTTACCTAGCATCAGTGTATGAGTTGAAGACAATTAAATTACCTATGTGGTCAATAATATTTATTGAATTTTAAGAAATACAGTTAACTTTAACTATTACAGTTTGTTTTGAAATAAATATAAATTCCATATAAATTAAATACATATAAATGTCACAGGTCAATTCTCCTCAGGTGGGCACGGAGCTCCTCACTATCCGGGGTGGGCACGGAGCTCCTCACTATCCGGGGTGGGCACGGAGCTCCTCACTATCCGGTGTGGGCACGGAGCTCCTCACTATCCGGTGTGGGCACGGAGCTCCTCACTATCCGGGGTGGGCACGGAGCTCCTCACTATCCGGGGTGGGCACGGAGCTCCTCACTATCCGGGGTGGGCACGGAGCTCCTCACTATCCGGGGTGGGCACGGAGCTCCTCACTATCCGGGGTGGGCACGGAGCTCCTCACTATCCGGGGTGGGCACGGAGCTCCTCACTATCCGGGGTGGGCACGGAGCTCCTCACTATCCGGGTGGGCACGGAGCTCCTCACTATCCGGGGTGGGCACGGAGCTCCTCAATATCCGGGGTGGGCACGGAGCTCCTCAATATCCGGGGTGGGCACGGAGCTCCTCACTATCCGGGGTGGGCACGGAGCTCCTCACTATCCGGGGTGGGCACGGAGCTCCTCACTATCCGGGGTGGGCACGGAGCTCCTCACTATCCGGGGTGGGCACGGAGCTCCTCACTATCCGGGGTGGGCACGGAGCTCCTCACTATCCGGGGTGGGCACGGAGCTCCTCACTATCCGGGGTGGGCACGGAGCTCCTCACTATCCGGGGTGGGCACGGAGCTCCTCACTATCCGGGGTGGGCACGGAGCTCCTCACTATCCGGGGTGGGCACGGAGCTCCTCACTATCCGGGGTGGGCACGGAGCTCCTCACTATCCGGGGTGGGCACGGAGCTCCTCACTATCCGGGGTGGGCACGGAGCTCCTCACTATCCGGGGTGGGCACGGAGCTCCTCACTATCCGGGGTGGGCACGGAGCTCCTCACTATCCGGGGTGGGCACGGAGCTCCTCACTATCCGGGGTGGGCACGGAGCTCCTCACTATCCGGGGTGGGCACGGAGCTCCTCACTATCCGGGGTGGGCACGGAGCTCCTCACTATCCGGGGTAGGCACGGAGCTCCTCATTATCTGGGTGGGCACGGAGCTCCTCGTTTCCTTCATGGACTCAGTGGTCGAGGTGGATCTCACTGAGGAGGGCTTCCAATGGTGTGTAAGGGAACCTATTGATTGCTGCCAGTCCTCCGAAGGTCTTAACCAGAGTGTCCGTATCGCTGGTTGTGTTCCGGAATATTTTCACTTCAGTACGGAACTCGAAACAACTGTTTATTAGATCAGTGTTAAGTGGGAGGCCATCCCAGAGAAGCACGACGCGGGCTGCACCACAGGTCACTGCTGCAGTGACGGCCTGTTGACCCAGACACACCATGTCGTCCTCCCCCTGCTTTAGGTGTCCGAAGATCTCTTCGATCAGCTTTGTGTTTGTGTCTCCGCCGATGTTTTTCAAGAGAGGTTGAGACTTTTGGATTGCTTCGTGCAGACCTTCGACGCCATTTTTCCCTAAGGAAAGAGTTAGTTTTATTTTCTGTTTTTGGGTTTTGTTTATCATTTGTAGGAACGTGTCCTTAACTTGGCCGACGCCTCCTAGCACAACGTCAGTGTCCTCGTGTTGCGTCAACACTTCTGTCAACCGGTCAACACAATTCTTCGTAAACTGTTAAACCTTTTCAGTCCTTATTCTCTCGAACCTGGAGGCGGATTGCCCCCCTCGGCCGTGCTTGGAGGGAGCGTTGTTGTTCTTGTGGTAAAGAACTTTTTCTTCGTGGACACTTACCAGCGCGATCAAAATATCGCTGGCGTCAATGATGACATATATGAGATTTCCCTGTGAGTTTTTGGCCTGCTTCCACAGGGGCTCGGTGCATATTTTGTTGCTACATCTATAAATTGTCGACCTAATTTTGAAGGGGGGCTCCATCACACACTCCAGGGGGCCGTCAATCCCAACATTTTCGTTACGAAAATGATTCGTAAAAAACATGGCTACACCATTTTTATGCGAGAACTCCTTACAATTTTCTAAATACGTTGAAACTTGCCGCAAAGAATCAATAACGGAGTTCCTGTTAGCACAGTTTTTTATATTTTTGGCCTAAACAATTTCTTGCTTTACGTGTGCCCGGAGTTTGTGTATATTGGTGTTGGGAGGAATGATGTATGTCACAATAGAGTTGGGATAGACAACTACTCCATTGTCCAGCTCTTGCAGCTGCTGCTGGAATTCGAAATAGTCAAAAAATGTCTTGTTTTCGATTCCTTGGTTTGTTCTGTTCCGGTTGTGTGCCGCCATCTTGTCTCCTTGCTGACAGCCCTGGCAAGATAAGAAATAATAATCCTTGTACTGGCTTGCTGAGCACATATTTATGTCTTAGATAGAATTATTGTAGTTATGGATGCAATGGATAAAGATAAAGGTATGGGAAGGGAACTATCAGGGGAAATTAAGGAATTATCAGGAGAAAGCACCATGGTCGGGGATTGAGCACAGACCTGCATGAAGTGAGACCATCCAGACCAAGTGGTTGGGGGAAACCATTGCAGGCTGGTAGATGAGAGTGTGAGGTTGGTGTGTTGGAGAGCGCAAAACACTGTGTTACTGTTGAGTAAAGCTGAAACTTCACAGAACCCCAACACAAGAGGACATATTAGGAATCTGCAAGATTCTGTGATATATATATAATTGTATGAGTGTGTGTGTCTGTCTGTATGACTGTCTAAAGTAGGAGGCTATAAGCCTAGGGCTAGAATGTAACAAGGGATTGGGAAGGGGTGTATGGAAGGGCCACAGGACAGTCAGGGTCGGCACAAGTGCCACCGTTTAATAAATATCACGATCCATAGCAAATTCTGCCCTTGTTATTTTTATTGCTTAAAATGAGATCAGGGATATGTTTTCCATAGAGAAAGGTCCAGGGAGATCCGGGGAGGTGCTGGGAGGTCCGGGGAGGTGCTGGGAGGTCCGGGGAGGTGCTGGGAGGTCCGGGGAGGTGCTGGGAGGTCCGGGGAGGTGCTGGGAGGTCCGAGGAGGTGCTGGGAGGTCCGGGGAGGTGCTGGGAGGTCCGGGGAGGTCCGGGAGGTGCTGGGAGGCCCGGGAAGGTACTGGGAGGCCCAGGAAGGTACTGGGAGATCCAGAGAGGTGCTGTGAGGTCCAGGAAGGTGCTGGAAGGTCCAGGGAGGTGCTGTGAGGTCCAGGGAGGTGCTGGAAGGTCCAGGGAGGTGCTGGGAGGTCCAGGGAGGTGCTGGGAGGTCCAGGGAGGTGCTGGGAGGTCCAGGGAGGTGCTGGGAGGTGCTGGAAGGTCCAGGGAGGTGCTGGAAGGTCCAGGGAGGTGCTGGAAGGTCCAGGGAGGTGCTGGGAGGTCCAGGGAGGTCCAGGGAGGTGCTGCAAGGTCCAGGAAGGTACTGGGAGGTCCAGAGAGGAGCTGGGAGGTGCCTAACTATTGAAGCTGTTAATGGGGACAGCTGTATACCTATTCTGCCCAAACTTCTCTTCTCACGTTCACTACTCTCAATATTTCCCCAAGTCCAGTACCTCTGAATCACTGGGATTCCCCAAGTCCAGTACCTCTGAATCACTGGGGTTCCCCACGTCCAGTGTCTCTGAATCACTGGGGTTCCCCACGTCCAGTGTCTCTGAATCACTGGGGTTCCCCACGTCCAGTGTCTCTGAATCACTGGGGTTCCCCACGTCCAGTGTCTCTGAATCACTGGGGTTCCCCACGTCCAGTGTCTCTGAATCACTGGGGTTCCCCACGTCCAGTACCACTGAATCACTGGGGTTCCCCACGTCCAGTGTCTCTGAATCACTGGGGTTCCCCACGTCCAGTGTCTCTGAATCACTGGGGTTCCCCACGTCCAGTACCACTGAATCACTGGGGTTCCCCACGTCCAGTACCACTGAATCACTGGGGTTCCCCACGTCCAGTACCTCTGAATCACTGGGGTTCCCCACGTCCAGTACCACTGAATCACTGGGGTTCCCCACGTCCAGTACCACTGAATCACTGGGGTTCCCCACGTCCAGTACCACTGAATCACTGGGGTTCCCCACGTCCAGTGTCTCTGAATCACTGGGGTTCCCCACGTCCAGTGTCTCTGAATCACTGGGGTTCCCCACGTCCAGTGTCTCTGAATCACTGGGGTTCCCCACGTCCAGTGTCTCTGAATCACTGGGGTTCCCCACGTCCAGTGTCTCTGAATCACCGGGGTTCCCCACGTCCAGTGTCTCTGAATCACTGGGGTTCCCCACGTCCAGTGTCTCTGAATCACTGGGGTTCCCCACGTCCAGTGTCTCTGAATCACTGGGGTTCCCCACGTCCAGTGTCTCTGAATCACTGGGGTTCCCCACGTCCAGTGTCTCTGAATCACTGGGGTTCCCCACGTCCAGTGTCTCTGAATCACTGGGGTTACCCACGTCCAGTACCACTGAATCACTGGGGTTACCCACGTCCAGTACCACTGAATCACTGGTGTTCCCCACGTCCAGTACACAGGCTGTGAAGTTCGTCCCTACCATTCTCGATAATTCCATTCAGTGATAATTCCAACACCAGTGATCATATGCGGGCCGCTGCATGCAACAGACTGTTGATCCAAACTCTCACAAATCAAGTCTGGCCCCCGGGTCGGGCTTGGGGAGTAGATGAACTCCCAAAACCCAATCTAGGTACAATCCAGGTTTTCTCCTCTGAATTTGATATCATATAGTGTCATTAGGGTGCGTTCCCTAACCTGTCCCTATAATTCAGTTGTGTTATCATTACAGACTCGTTGTATCCTGTCCCTCCACCCCTCTCCCCCACTCCCCAGGGTGAAGCGGCGCCGCCCCCACAGGGGTGAAGCGGCGCCGCCCCCACAGGGGTGAAGCGGCGCCGCCCCCACAGGGGTGAAGCGGCGCCGCCCCCACAGGGGTGAAGCGCCCCCGCCCCCACAGGGGTGAAGCGGCGCCGCCCCCACAGGGGTGAAGCGGCGCCGCCCCCACAGGGGTGAAGCGGCGCCGCCCCCACAGGGGTGAAGCGGCGCCGCCCCCACAGGGGTGAAGCGGCGCCGCCCCCACAGGGGTGAAGCGGCGCCGCCCCCACAGGGGTGAAGCGGCGCCGCCCCCACAGGGGTGAAGCGGCGCCGCCCCCACAGGGGTGAAGCGGTGCCGCCCCCACAGGGGTGAAGCACCACCACCACAGGGTGAAGCACCACCACCACAGGGTGAAGCACCACCACCACCACAGGGTGAAGCAGCAGCATCACCACCACAGGGTGAAGCACCAGCATCACCACCACAGGGTGAAGCACCAGCATCACCACCACAGGGTGAAGCACCAGCATCACCACCACAGGGTGAAGCACCAGCATCATCACCACAGGGTGAAGCACCACCACCACCACAGGGTGAAGCAGCACCACCACCACCACAGGGTGAAGCAGCAGCACCACCACCACAGGGTGAAGCAGCACCACCACCACAGGGTGAAGCAGCACCACCACCACAGGGTGAAGCAGCACCACCACCACAGGGTGAAGCAGCACCACCACCACAGGGTGAAGCAGCAGCACCACCACCACAGGGTGAAGCAGCACCACCACCACAGGGTGAAGCAGCAGCACCACCACAGGGTGACGCAGCAGCACCACCACAGGGTGACGCAGCACCACCACCACAGGGTGAAGCAGCACCACCACCACAGGGTGAAGCAGCACCACCACCACAGGGTGAAGCAGCACCACCACCACAGGGTGAAGCAGCACCACCACCACAGGGTGAAGCAGCACCACCACCACAGGGTGAAGCAGCACCACCACCACAGGGTGAAGCAGCACCACCACCACCACAGGGTGAAGCAGCACCACCACCACAGGGTGAAGCAGCACCACCACCACAGGTTGAAGCAGCACCACCACCACAGGGTGAAGCAGCACCACCACCACAGGGTGAAGCAGCACCACCACCACAGGGTGAAGCAGCACCACCACCACAGGGTGAAGCAGCACCACCACCACAGGGTGAAGCAGCACCACCACCACAGGGTGAAGCAGCACCACCACCACAGGGTGAAGCACCACCACCACCACAGGTTGAAGCAGCACCACCACCACAGGTTGAAGCAGCACCACCACCACAGGGTGAAGCAGCACCACCACCACAGGGTGAAGCAGCAGAACCACCACAGGGTGAAGCAGCAGAACCACCACAGGGTGAAGCAGCACCACCACCACAGGGTGAAGCACCACCACCACCACAGGGTGAAGCAGCAGAACCACCACAGGGTGAAGCAGCACCACCACCACAGGGTGAAGCAGCAGCACCGCCACAGAGTGAAGCACCACCACCACCACAGGGTGAAGCAGCACCAGCAACACAGGGTGAAGCACCACCACCACAGGGTGAAGCAGCACCACCACCACCACAGGGTGAAGCAGCACCACCACCACAGGGTGAAGCAACACCACCACAGGGTGAAGCAGCACCACCACCACAGGGTGAAGCAGCACCACCACCACAGGGTGAAGCAACACCACCACAGGGTGAAGCAGCACCACCACCACAGGGTGAAGCACCACCACCACCACAGGGTGAAGCAGCACCAGCAACACAGGGTGAAGCACCACCACCACAGGGTGAAGCAGCACCACCACCACAGGGTGAAGCAGCACCACCACCACAGGGTGAAGCAACACCACCACAGGGTGAAGCAGCACCACCACCACAGGGTGAAGCAGCACCACCACCACAGGGTGAAGCAGCACCACCACCACAGGGTGAAGCAGCACCACCACCACAGGGTGAAGCGGCACCAGCAACACGTCATTACATTAAGAAATTGACAGTTAGAAATCAGTGGCTCAGGAGCTGAAGCTCGGCCCTTTAAGCCCATCTAGATGAGTCTAGATAGTCCCGCTGGCCTCCTGGGCCAGAATATAAACACAGTCTTTGTCTATTATATTTAATGTATTGTTTAGTTAATCAGAAATCCAGGGAATATTAGCTTTAATGAGTATATGAGAAAGTGTTGAAAGGAAGAGATACAAAAGGTCAATACGTCATGTGTGTTTTGTGTGAAGTATTGAGGCACTCGTTCAACGGGGCCCCAGGGAGATGGTGCTATTTCCGGCCGTCTTCCCCTCCTTACAAAAACCTAACTAGATTCTGGCTCAGGTAAAGTAAACTGGTAAGAAATTTGGCAGCGAAGGTGGCACATTTTCTGGCCTTCTGTTTCCCTCTCAGTTATTTTCTACATGATTCTTTCTGGCAGGAAACACACTTTACCTTGCCTGGCAGGAAGACTTGAGTGCTTCTCAAGTGCCTGACTTAATTAAGTGTCTTACGGTGCCCCCAGGGCCTCAGAAGGCCTGGGGGCACCGCAGTCTGCGTAGCATGTGGCGTATTGGCAATCAGACTGCTGGCTCTGCTCGTCCTTGTGGCCCATCCCAAGGACGAGACCACTCTACCGTCCCGTCCAAGTGATTGGGCACCATTTCTTTCCCCCGTGCCATCCCAAATCCTTATCCTGTCCTCTTCCAAGTGCTATATCTTTTCCTTGATTGTTCATTCCTTTCTTAGCTCTTTCTTCTCATAATTCTCCTCTTACATTCCTCTTCCCTTCCATCTCTCTCCCTGACCCAAACGTCGTCTCCTCATCTTCTGGTGTGTGGTTTAGTCATCATATCATCAGCCACGTTATTGTAACTCGTTGTCGGAGGTCATCCAGAATATTATATTTTACATGATTATATAAGTTTGTCTTATGTACTTTATTGACGAGGACTGTAGTAGTAGGTAGTAAAGATGGTGATAGTGATGAGGGGGATGGTGAAGAGCAGGCACAGTGTAGGAAGGTGCAGAGAGAGGGGGGAAGGTGGTGAAGGGTAAGGGAGGTGGTGAGGGGTAGGGGAGGTGGTGAAGGGTAGGGGAGGTGGTGAAGGGTAGGGGAGGTGGTGAAGGGTAGGGGAGTTGGAGCAACAGGCAGGAGTAAAAGAGAAGGTGCTCCAGTGGATAAGGGAGTACTTAAGAAACAGGAAACAGCAAGGAACTGTAAGGGGGATGACATCAGAGTGGCGAGATGTCACCAGCGGAGTCCCACAGAGTTCAGTGCTTGGACCCATCCTGTTTCTAATACAGTGGTACCTCGGTTTAAGAGTTTAATCCGTTCCTGGAGACAGCTCGTATTAGGAAAACTCGTAATCCGAAGCTAATTTCCCCATAAGAAATAATGGGAAATGAATTAATCCGTTCCGACTACCCCAAAACCTCACTTCAAACTAAATTTTATACCTAATTCATCTAAATAAACCTACAAAACTATGTTCAAGCTATTACTTACCCTT